CACTCACACCTAGTCCTAATGGTAATTAGGACATCTTCACACACCACTTAAAGAAGACAATTGAATTCAAACAAAGGCAAGAAAGGGCAAAGATATAAGTAGTGGAATCTAACCTTGAAAAGCTACTTTGAATGCTTGGTTGAGTTTACACACTTTCCTTTTGTTTGCTTGCACCAAAAACCAAAATTATAAACATTCTAAACTCTCAAACATTTTGAATTACTTCTGGAATAATCTAAGTTGTCTATAGTCATTGATATGATTTGGTTGCAATTGTATGCTTTTTAGGATAAAATGACCTAAAGTGTATTCATACTCATATTTTAGTTTCTTTAAAAGGCTTGTATGACTCAGGTCTTTTTAGAGGTAAAATAATAAAGATAAACAAAAAAATTTATAGGGATGATATATGTTTATATATGATCAAAATAAATATTCTTTTTATCATATAAATAAAGCCAGAAGAGTATTGATTGCGCATTAAAACCTATATCAACACTCATATTCAAGGACAAAAGATAATTGAAAATTAGGAACGAAATTTTGGAAGCAGTAAGTATAATGGTGCACAAAATGAATATAAAATCCACTAATTATATTAATGTAGCGTTAGTTTATAGTTAGTATGTGAAGAATAGGTGAATTATTTATTTTTACAAAGTTGGAGGGAATTTTCAAGGGCTAATGATGATGCTGAAGGGTTTAATTAATTGGGGTGTCCTTGAATTACGAAACCTGCTTTGAAGATTGCGATGCACTCGATGTTCTCACCAAATTCAATTCAATTTCCGACTTAGAATAATGGTCAAAGATATGCCACTTGATGAATTACTCATCATTGAACAGTAAACAAAACTTTTTTTTTTTCTGGGGGAAAAACACAGAGAACCATCATACTCCCATTTTTTGGGGCTTAAAATAAATAATAAATATAAATACACATTTTTATAACTTATATAGTGTCATGATTGAGACGCAATAATGAAAGCCTCCCATTTTTTATAAAGAAGAAAAATGAGAGCTACTCCTTGTTACATTTTAGCATGATTTTCGGTGAGGTTGCATTATGCTAATTTCACCATACTTGGCATTTTGGAGATTTTTTGAATCCTTTTAACACTTTTTTTTTTTAAAGTACTAGATCTGTTGCTTCAGAGAAAATTGACATTTATTTTAATATATACAATTGTATTGTGTACGTCAAAATCATGGACATGTGATTAGGGAAGGGATGATTATGAATAGATGTGAATAGGATATATATAGTTTTTAACCATTCAACTCATTTTCGGTAGGAATTTAAAGTATTTTCTAAAATTGAAACAAAATATATTCACATGGGATAATTTTTAAAACAAAACATTTAAAAAAATATTCTTATAATACTATTTAGATGACAATTTTTTTTTTGGTAAAACACTGAATATCTTAAGTCACATTAAATTCTAAATAATCCAAATAAATTTAGGTTATGCTCTAGATACAAATAATTCTTCCAAAAATTACTTCTAAATGTACATGACTTACATCTGAGTCGTTGTGCTTAATGGAGTTTAACTCCTTTTACCATAACCAATGCTTATTGGCATTAAGATCACATTTTTTTAATTATATCTTAATTTTTTTGGTAGAATTATATCTCATTGATCAAAATATATGATAATGATGTAAAATAATTTGGTGGTATAAGTTTATTTCATTTCCTTAAATTTTTTTTTTGGTGGTGGACTGTGTTTAGAATTGATTCCCCCACCAATTCAAGGGCCCTTTCCTAGTTTTTATTTATTTATGAAGATGTGAATAAATGTAGTTAAATAAGCATATATTACAAGTTAACAGTGATGTGTTATCATACTATCAACCATACTTTGATCCGAATTCAAAAAATATCCCTAAACATGCATGTACAAATCAAATATAAATAGAAAATTTTACTAGTAATTTCACTAGATGCATATGTAAGACATTATCTTGGTTTCAAAATTAGTGTAGAGTGGATAAAAATAATGGGTTTAAATGGTAAATTGGAATAGAAACTATAACTTAGGACTCTAAATTTTTTTTCATGTAATGTTTTTTTAATTTTTAAAAACAGTGTAATGTTATCTTTATTGTCAATAGTTGACAAAAAAATTATAAAAAAGAATCTCAAAATTTACTGACAGTGACGGTTAAAAAAAATATAAAAAAGAATCTCAAAATTACTGACAGTGGCAAAAAAAATTCTTAATCTTTTTTGTAATTTTTTCTCTATAATTTGGGATTTTTTCTGCAAATTTTTTACGATCGAAAATTAGTGTAGAGTGATAAAAAAAACAGTAATTACGAGAAAGCTCAAAGTGATTGAAGACATATTGATGTAAAATCTAGATGAAGAGAATAACTACGGGAATGAAAATAGGAAAAATCTCTTTCCAAAAAAATATTTTGACATGTAAAAACACTTTAATTTCCTCACCTTTGTTCCCTCAAATTCCCTTTCCATAAATCAAACACAACCTCCTAATATTTAATCAAACAAGAAACATCAACTCAAGATTTCTCCAACTTCAAGCCGCTCATCCTAGGAGGTTTTGTTTTTTGTGTGCATTTGGAGTGAATTGCACACTTAAGTAGCCTTTTTTTAATTAATCCTATGGTTAGAGGTTATATTAAAAAAAATTCCAACAAACACTTCCTTAAAGTCTACTAAAATCATGTAAACATCACTTTTATTTAATAAAAAAATAAATTCTTGAAATTTCTAATAATATGTTTAAAATTATAATTCGAATATTTGTTTGTTAAACAAATCATATGATGGGATGAGAAAAGAGATTATTATAATTTAAAATGTAGGAAATGTGGCATGTGGACTGGGGATGGATGGGAGATGTTGTGGAGGCATCTAAGACTAAGAAGAGTCTATCTGTTCTGTTCAAGTGGGGCCCTTATTGAATTGTTTAGGGGTTAGGTTAAAGAAAACACATGCCTCCCCCTAACCCTTTTTTAAACTTCAACATCACCATTTTTATATATTTCTTTCTATTTCTCTCACTAGACTCTGCCATTTTAGTGCTTTCACCCTCACCTCTCCATTGCTTGCCCCTCCCTATCATTTCACCACCATTCATGCTTCCAGCTAGTTTTACTTACCAGTTTTCTTTCATGGATTTAAATGCAAAATAATTGATATGTAAGTGTCATAAATTATATTTAAAATATCTTTTCTAGCGTGATTTTATTTTTAACGATATCTTTAAAATACTTGGGCTGCCTTTACACCCATTAACATTATTGGATATTAGATATTTTTTTAAATAGTTTATTTTCAAATGACTTAGTTTTCATTTGAACAGCACTTTTTATATTTCAGATGTGCTTTTTGGAAAAATTTTGAAGTGATGTTTGTTATCAAAGTTAAAGTCAAGCTGAGTTGTAAAATAAAGATAGAAAACTTACCATTGGGAAATGAGACTGGATGTTATTGTCATGTGAAGTGAAAGTAAGAATTAGGGAATAAAATTGAATGTTATTGAATATGAATATAAAGAGTTGTCCGGGAAGAGGTTGGTAGGTTAGAAATGAATGAGGGGAGAGGAGAGGGTTGAGAATTGAGATTGAAAGAAAAGAGATTCATAGTTTGGTGCAAGAGATAAGAGAAGAGAGGCTAACATGGTGGAGGATGGGCCACAACAGATTAAAGGCCTCTGATTTCATTAGTAAAAGGGACATGGACCCCCCCATCCTTCTGTTCCCTAAAGCTCGGAAACCCCATGTTCTTCCCTCAACCTTATCTTTCATAACCCTTTACACCTCCTACTCCCTTACTCCCACCATTCTTATTTTTTTTTAAATAGATCATAGGTATTATGTTATTGGAGATAATCCTGTTTAAAGTACTGTTGAATATTAAATGTGATCATTTCTTTCAAAATAGATTCAAAATTGAAACCTCAGACTCCAGTAAATCCGAGTTAGGCATATTCTTGCACATTCAAATTGGAGTAGTCAAATACTAAATAAAAAGTTGCTTTCCTCCGGCCGAGCAGTGTAACATGCTGAGATCGTTTTCGTGGGGGGGTCCATTTCATAGTTCAATTCCATGGCACCGCCGGCAGTTCAAATGTTATTGTTGGTGCATTTAGTCATGCTCACTTTCTTTGCCAGTCATTAATTAAAGTCTCACATGTACTTCAAACCTAACCAAATTGCCCAGGCTTTTTTAGTTTCGATCTTTCATAGTTATCCTCAATCCTCCTGTTCAGGCCCTTTTCTTGTCATGCCCTCCATACAATATGGGACACTACCGGATTATCAAATAGGAACCCGTTCCTGGAATTGCTTATTGCTTTGATTGCACTTTTTTTAAGCCATGATTGCCTTCGATCCAATCACTTGCATTGGATTCTGACGATTTTGCTGGGCTTCCTCATCCTCATTATGGGCACGTAACGTAATCATGTTTATCATATTTGAACGCCCAATATTCCATTGTGCGTCATACTGTGGAGGACAATCCTGTTCCACGCAAATACAACACTACCATTCTAGTGGTTCATGAGTATTTTTAGCCACTGTGGTCAAATGTTGATGTTTCAAATGCCATGGTGCCTTTGTTCAGTTTTAGTAAGGCAGGGGAAAAGGGGGGAACAAGAATAGCTTAACTTTGACAGAAAGACTACAAAGATGAACTACAAACTACAAACCACAAACCATATTCCAACCTTCCTGAACAGAAATTCTCTCATTAACGAAGCTTTCGCTTTTAAGGTAGGCTATTGCCTATTAACATAAAATTTCCCCTTTTCTTCCATGATTAATCAAACAGGATAGATTTGAAGGAACAACCAAATTTGAAAAGAAGGTATCCCCCATCTGTAATTCGTGATACTTTATCTTCCAAACCGAAAGAAACTATTGCCGTCAGGGTTGGCCAAACAATATTTTATTTGAATTTATTATTCGCCAAAACTTCATTTGCCCATATGCCTGGTATAACATGAAGACACACTGAAGCCTAATATGTCCATTCCAACAAAATAAACTTGCTTTTAAAAAAAATAATAATAAAACATTGATCCTCAACTTCTATGATTACCCCGAGAAGAATTCGGAAAAATGGGTACATGAAAGAATTCGATGACATAGCGTATGATCACGAATGAAAGTCTGACACTACCTAAGTATCATCTTCAAAAATGAAATTTAATCAGCCAAAAATACCAGGGAACCAATAGGGGGTTCAAACTTGGAAGTGACTGTGGAAGACTCAGACCCATCTGAAAAAGTCGGCTTTGTGTTGTTTATTCAAAGAATTGGGTATTATAACTAAAAAAAATCATGTTTCAAAATTCAAGATAAGGCTCAGCTCTGCTATGTTACCGATGCAAAGCTCCCTCAGATGCGACTCGAGTCCCTACCAAAGACAAAGCGTCTCGCCCAGTCCGATACCACTAAGGCCCTTGTACGCCAGCTTACTTGCTTGCTGTTTAAAGATGATTGAATTAAGCTTTATAACTTGGTGAAATGAATGGCATTAAAACGCACAGAGATATGCAAGAGAGAGATAGCAAGAATGAGGAGGGGTACCTTGCATAGACAGAATACCATAACCACTGGGAACTGTGGCCAATTGATACCCAATCCCCAGGAAGCTGTGCTGCTGTCTGCTCTCCTCCCAGCGGAGCGAATTGTCCGAAATGCTTGTATCTTCACACAAAAAGCAAAAACCTCGTTACATTTGTTGTTCGGTGACAATTTTGTAATATTGTACTAAAAAGAGGATTGAGTAATAGATAGAGGAGAGAGCATGTAGATCATTTTGATTTGGTACCTAAAGGGTTTGAAGCGGTGGCGACCTTCTCCCCTGAATCTGAGAGGACCCTCTGGATTTTTTTCACACTCCTCCATCCGGTTAAAACATTTCGCCAGGTATGCGCCCTGCTGAGATGCAACCTGATATTTTTATCCAGAGACGCGTCAGACAAATGGTATAGTTAAAAAAGAAACAACACTAGAGCAGAACCAAAGGTGAAGCTTGTTCCAGAGCTTGTTATCATGATATATGAAAACAATCTATCATTCTTATCATAATTCTAATGCTTTTTTAAAAAATTGTTTCACAATTCATAATTTTATTAAACGCTTTCTTCATAAAATGACAAGCACCTGCGCTGTAGCCGGAAGAAATTTCATCTGAGAATCCACTTTGGACAGTGCTGCTTTGAAGTCTTCGATGTTCAGTTCAGTTGGTTCTTTTTTAACATCTCCCTTGGCTTCCTTCGACAGATCAACAATGCCGCGCATCTGCTTGCTCTTCAGATATAGCTCCACCTGAGGGTACCTTTCACAGATATCGTCGATCACCTCTTGAAATTCTTTCACCGTAAGCGTTCCTGAGTTGTCTTTATCTGCCTTCTTAAAAATCGCAGCAATATCTTCCTGAAAACACGAAACACCCGATATTCTAATAGCAGGAAAAGAGAGATCATCTAAACTGAAATCAATAGCATAATAAGCATCAAACAAAACAATTACTCCAGAAAAAAGTTACAGTATATCGTGTTTCGATAGATTTTACCCCGACTCGTATGCTTATTCATGATTTATTTGATTTTTTATGTTATTCAGACCGAGTCTACTTAACTGTACCGTGTGTTATCTTTACAGGGGAAAATAAGAACAAAGAAACTACAAAACTATTGGCCATGTATAGTATATAGTAACGTGAGCAATCAGGTACCATGACTTTTCGCTGATTTATGGTAGCACAATCACCAAGAGCATACACATTGTCACACCCTTCAACTCTCAACCATTCATCAGTGGCCAAGGCGCGCCTGTTAGCCTATCATCAAATGAGCAGTGTTTCAGCCAACAATACACCAATTAAAATTTGCATAATAGAAAGAAAAAAGAGAAAACTGATATAGATCAGTACTTCTGTATTTGTGTCAGATTTCCTCAAGGCATACCTGGTTAATTTGCTTCATGAAATCTTTGATAAATGGACGAGTGCCTATACCAGTTGACCACACAGCCATTCCATATGGAATTGCAGTAATCTCTCCGCCATTTTTCAGTTCCTTAGTAGAAATTTCTTTCTCCGACACCTTCACAACCATGGACCCTGTTTTCACATCAATGCCATCTCTCTTGAACTTGTCTTCAGCAAATGCAGTAATTCTCTTGTCAAACCTGCAAAACAGAGCATAGGAATATATCAAGTTTCCAAGGTATTTAATTTAATAATTAAAAATATCACAACATTAATAACTAACTTAAATTACTTTATATCGATCGAAGCACGGAGATTTCAGAATATAGTCATGCATGTCTCTCTAATGTGTGTCAAATTGTCATATTTAACATTTTAACTTGCAAACTCTGATCCACTTTTAAGATGGGAGATTCAGAGACTTACATGCTCAGAATATGATCTCCAGCCTCCAGAAGCGTGATCTTAACTAAATCTTTTATTCGAGGATATAACTTGACCAAATCCTCATTGACAAAGTCATGAAGGGAGGCTGCAAACTCCACCCCCGTTGGGCCACCTCCAACTATTGCAAAATGAAGAATCCTCTTCTTCTCTTCATCACTTACATTTGGCAAGCTTGCTCTCTCAAAGCAATCAATAACTGTTCTTCTAATCTTCTGGGCATCTTCTACTTCCTGAACATGAATGTCCGCAAGATTATCAAGAAACAAAATCATGCATACATGTACAGGCATCATAACATAGCCAAAAACGAACATGATGAATCAAAAGTGTTTAGCTTGGGAGCAGCTGGCGTATCTTATTCTCAACATTGTTCAGGATATTAATTTAATCCCTCTAGTGTACTTAAGATTGCTCGGAGATGATACTAAGTTTCGGGCAAAGTTCAAGATCATTTCTGACCGTAACACCATCATCAATTTAGAAAAAGGACAAGAGAAGTGGAAATTACCTTTAAGAAATGGCAATGCTCCACAACTCCAGGAGTGTTAAACGTGTTGACATTAGCTCCCACCGCTATGACTAAGTAATCATAGTCCACTACGAATTCTTCTTTCCCGTTCAAATGGTTGTTTATGTTGGATCGACAGTAAATTTTCTTGTTTTCTGCATCAATCTTGAGACACTCGGCTTCACTATATTCAATGTCCATCCTTTTCTGCTCCACACCCAAAAAAAAATAAAGAATTGGTGAAGGATATGCCAACACAAAAGCAAGTGGTTAAGTCTGAAAACCTTAAAGGTATATATTAATCTTAAAAATATACACAAGCATCTCTTAAGAATTTTTTGATGGAACGTCTGTTACATGCTTCCATGTTTATATAGATTATTAGCATAGTTTACATAAATTTTATAAAGCATGGAAGGATGACCTGAGATTGATAACTGCTATTAAAGTGCCGTTTACTTGTTACAGGGAAGTCATTCCACCCCCAAAACAAGTTCTCATTTGATGGTTATCCATCCCAGAATATTGGAAAGTACCTAGATGATTCTAAGACTATGTATATGATCTGTGTTTTTTATTTTCCAACGAGACATAAAAACTAATAAGGTGCTTGAATCTGTGTTTTTTGTTCCAATGAAACATAAAAACCACTATGGTGCTTTCATCAATACCTTCCTAAAAATATTGCGAACAGGCTCAACAATGCTGCGAGCTTCGATAGTGCCACTGGTGACGCTAGGCAACAAAGGAGTGAATGCAAAGTAGTTGCGAGGCGACACCACCTGAACCTCATACCTTGGATTGTTTATATTCCTCAAGAAACTTGTGCCTGCCCAGCCAGTTCCCAGCACCACGACCTTTTTCTTTTCCGGAGCTGCTTCTGATGAATCAATATACGCTCCATTGCTTCTATTGGCGTCTGCATATGCAACAAGAGCCCCTGTCCCACCACTGCATCAAACAAATTGTTCGTGTTCATGTACGCTTCACAAATCTAAATGAACAATGAAGCATCCATTTTCGCAATAGAACCTAACACGCGTATTAGACACCAGAGTTCATATTGTATTTGAACATTAGCTTGTCCTATAAGATTGTCACAGGTGTTGCGTTTTTATTAAGCCTACAGTACAAAATAATAGAACATAAAAAATATATGATCTGTTCACAATCACTTGTCAAAAAAATATCCCGATTATAATTCTGAGAGATTGTGGATCGAAAATTACATTTAGTTCATCGATCAATCGATTGCAAAGAAAATCTAGACCGAATAAAAAAAAAAAAAGGTTTGAACCGTCCCATTGTAACATATTGAAGCAAGTAATAGTTAATTTTTAATTTTAAGATCAATATAAGTCGCCACAAGGTTTGCTTAAAAAAAAAAAAAAGCAGTAACACGGTCCCTGAAGAAGAAACCGAGGCGGCGGGGATGTGAGAAGGCAAACCAATAAATCATAAATGTCATTTTGCGAGAAAAGTTAAAAAGAGCATTAGAAGGAACAAGCCACAAAAATGTTACAAGGAAATGAAAATAAGATTGGAGAGGAAGAGATGCGAGGATCGGATCGTGCAGATCAGAGTAACATAAAGAAAGAGAATGAATACCTGACGGTGAAGAGCACAAGAAGCTTGGAGAGGGAGGAGGAGTCATGGAAAGCTCTAGAAACTCGTTCATAGAAAGTGAAAGCCCGCATTGTGCAGTGAGACGGTGATACGTAGTCCGAGATTGGAGCAAAAGAGATCGGAGTCCAATAATCTGGGAGAGAAAACAGAGAGAAATTGAAGGAAAAAGGAGGGGTCTACCGGGGTTGGCGTTGAAGAGCGGCACAAATAGAGACGCAAGAGAATCCGGAAAGGTGGGAGAGAGAAACGTTTGGAATGACGGTGGGAAGGTGTGAACAATTGTTCTGATTGCCCTTTTTTTTTGACTTGGCGACCAAGAAAAGAGCTTCACGTGTCAAAGTAGGGACATGTCTTCATACCAAGTCTCTCTCTCTTTTGTTACTACTGTTTTATTTGGAATAAAATTGTTTTAGTTATTTAGTAATTAATTATTTTCCTTACTTTTAATGTTTTATAATTTGATATTACATCATTACGAAAATTGCTTAATGATGTCAGATAATTATTTTAATGGATTTAAACTATCCAAATTTGTATTGTCCACAAATGCTATTTTTATTTATAAATGTTTTAATCATATATGATTTCATTATATCAATATAAAATTTTTTATTATTACAAATAATGCAATCCGGCTCAGATCGTATGAGACAATGGAAATAAAGCATTGAAGTCAATTCTTTTAACCAGAGGCATCGAAATAAAATAAAAATTGGACTGTAATGTTGAAATCAAATTAAATGATTAGATTCGTAAAAGAATAATAACACAGAAACATTAGATAATCTATTCTTATTATTTAATTTATATTAAACCATTCGTGAAAATTCAATTCAATTTTTTGGCCAAACAAGTCAATTCAATTTAAAACATGGTTAGTCAAATTAATATTAATAATACTGGGATGGCTCAACAAAACTTTGATAAAAGTATAATGAAATATACTACTCTAGGTTGAAGGGAAATTTATTCGAATTATGAAAGTATATGCTTTTTCCTTGCGGTTAGGAATTGGACACGTGGAAGAGGTGGGGCCACCAGGCTCTGCTGGTCCTCTGGCTACCTCTCCTGACCTTGACCCTGAGAATAAGGCGCCGCTCGCTTGGTAACTTCGGGATCTGATTGCACGTGTCTCAAACAAAACTCAAAATAATAATAATAATTGAAATAAAAAGAAAATTTTGAATGGTCTTGGTGGGTGTTGCTTTCCACATTCGCTTTGTGCTGCCAAATATTTGTTGTGGGGTCACAAAGTCTCGCACGCAATTTGCATGAGTTGGCCTGCACTGTGACATTGTACTTTTTTTTTTTGGTGACATTGTACATTTGTGCTTTCCAATTTTACGTTCCCACAATTATGAGTTCTGCATTCTATTTCTATGCCACAGCTGCATTTTTATTAGAGCTAATAATTTAAATCAAATTCAACGAGTCAATTTAAATTTATTCAAAAAATTTAGATTTGAGTTCAAAAAAATAATTTTTTATTATTTGGATCTATTCGAGCGGTCTAAGTAGGCTCAAGAAAATTCAGGCCAAACTCGATCGGGTTCGGACTTAGCCCGAATACCCGAATAGAAAAAATTTTAAAAATATATATAATATAATAAATATTAATTATTTTTCAAGTTTTACATCATTTTATTTTAAAATAATATATATTTGAGTGTATTACTATAGTTATTTTAAAAAAAATAAAAATATTTATATTTTTTCATTTTTATTATTTTTAATCAAATAAAATATCTCAAAATAATAAATAAAATATATTTTAATATTAATTTTTATATTTTAAGACTCAATTTTTTTTGAAAAAAATTGAGTCATATACACCATTTTCTTGTCCAAAAAATTATATTTTATATTTATTATAAAATAAGATAATTAATTTTAAATTAAAAATAATTTTAAAAATAAAATTCAAGCATGTACGAATTTCTGGCTCTACTACTAAACAAACATAATAAATAAAATAATATTTTTAGATAATTATTTGATTATCATCCACGCCAGACTTAGTTAAAAATTAAGAATAAATTAAAACAAATACCCTTTGTATATAGGACTTAAACAATATAAAAGGTTAAAGAAAAAAATTTAAAAAAATAGTATTTTACCCATAATTAAATAATTTTGTTTTATATAATATAATGATGATTATTTTTCTCATATTCTTAAAAATAAAAAGTAAAGTTCATCCAATAGTTATAAAAAACTTTGAACTAATTAGGATAATAATTTTAAATTAGTGATCTAACCGTAGTTGAATTGAGATTAACTTGATCATAATTAAAATAATATGATTCAATTAAAATATATAAATATTTTTATATAACCATGATAAAGGTAATATTTAAATAAATAAGACATTAATTTATAAGTAAATGAAACATTCATGAATAAATTGCACATAATACAACAAAACAGTAACAAAGTTACTTAAATACTTAACTACAAAGTTAATAAGTTATTATTTTTTGTATTCCTTTCAAGTTAAAATAATATGTTATGCTTAATAAAATTATTTAAAAATTAAAATTGATTAAAAAACTATTTTTAAAAAAGTTTCGGGCATTCGGGCCGACCCCAATAAGCTCGAAGCCCAAGTGGCTATATGGGTTTTTTAAAAAGAGTAGGATTCTTTAAGTCCGATCTGAATAAGCCTGGCCCGAATTAAGCCCGACCCAAACAAGCCCAGCTCGCCTGAATTACCGGCTCTAATTTTCATCTATTCATTTTTCCACTTTAATTTTGTTTCTGAGCCACAGCAGCATTTTTATCCCATTTATAAATTTAATTGCTTTCAACATATTTTATCAAAATTTAAAAAAGTAAAATTTATTAACTATATATAAAAATTTAAAAGAAAACACATTTGCAAAATCTTATAGTTTGTATCAATTTTTTAATCAAGTCCTTATAATTTTATTTTTTGGAATTGGACCTTTATGCCCCGTTTAATATGTTGAAATTGAGAGGATGTAAATGGATATTGATATGAAATTTAAAATTTTGTATGTTTGGTTAAATAAAATTTGACTAAATTGGACTTCCTTGTGGAAGCCAAATGCACCAAAATTGATGGAATTGGCTTCCATTTGAGGGGAGCATGGAAGTCCATTTCCACCAACTCTTAGACCAACATTACCCTCGACAGTTGGTACTAGTGGAGACAATAGAGAGTGTGATGAGGATGACAGCACTAGTGATAGCAACAGCTAAGATGTGGTGACGGCAATGATAGTAGCATGATGGCACCTCATCCTCTTTGTGGATCTCAAACTTAACAAAATTTGCACTAGAAACTCATCCAGGTCGACTCATCTTCTCCCAGTTCATCTTTTGCGCTAAAGACTATGACAATTCTGAATGGAACTTTCCACATCTACTAGCCTAAACCAAAATCACCTTTACTTTTCTTTATTTGTCAAGATGACCTCTACATCCTAACCCTTAATCAAATCAAATTCAAACTCGACATCTTCTATAAACACATCAACGACAGTGTCGAACCAAACAACTTCGCTAAACAAATCTTTTAATTCTTTGGTTTCTAATAATGGTGGCTGTAGCTTTAATTTCTAGCATATATTTGATAGCTTCATTGGATCTAGTTTGATTGATTCTCCAGTGGCAGCTATAATTTTTTACGGTGGCTTGGATATTTGTGTTAAGGTTAAGGTTTTTTTAGATGAGGGCATATTAGTAATTTCATATTATATAGATAAATATCAAATAAAAATAATATATGAATTCCATATGAATACCAAACATGTCTCATAAACTTATTTTCATGTCTATTTCCATTCATATTTCTATCTCCATCTTTATTTCCATTTTCATTATGCCAAATGGGCCCTTATAGCTTTCCATGTTAAGTCCAAGTCTAATAGCTTTTAGCCCGTTAACACCATTAAGAAAGTCTGATCTAGATAACGTAGTACTTTATCGCCGCCATCTATATGGATTAGTGATGCCAAGTAGATCAACTTTGCCCAACTGGATCCTTGAAAAAGTTTGATTGACTTTACACCTATCCTCTTATAAGGTAAATCACGTCATTGTGTTATTGAATGTGGAGGAAGAGAGGAGAGCAACCTTTGTGCTATTTTCGCTAATCATCTTGTTCGTGCTTTTTGGATTGAGCGTTCTTTCTCTCTATTTGCTTTTTGACTATTGTCTTCTTCATGCTAGCTATGTCCATTCGTTTTCAACCTTTTCGACTATATGTTCATGTCTGTTCTCTCTTTTTGACTTTCCATTCTGGTTATCTCTAACCTTCCTTAAATGTTTTAAAAGAGATTAGTCTCCATATGTTCATGCACTTAGTAATGGCAGCAGCAATAGTAGGAGCATTTTTAAGATTTTTTTTCCCTATTGGATTGCAAATTTGCAATGGTCTTTGGATTGGTTTACTTGAAATAATTTCTGTTGGTATGCTGAATTTATTGTTGTAACATCCTCAATTTTTAAATCAGATATAATAAGTAATTAAATTAATTAAGTATATTAGCAATGTGTATGGCTAGAGGGCCTAATGAGCATGTTTGGTTTCAATTTCAGCTCTAAACACGAGTTTGAAGGAGAATCGGGTCACTTAGAAATGAATGAGGAAGAAATTCTAAAGAGGGAGATTCTGTGCCACGTGCCGCGGCTGGTGGATAAGCTGCCATGATGCATGTACGACAACATGCCTAGGAAAAAAGGCTCTCTGTACCATGTGCCACAGTGCATTGTGCATTCGCCACAGTGCATGATCACTTTCCTGCTATTATAAATCACAAAATGAAGTAGAAAACAAAGTAGAAACAAAGGAAGTTGGGAGAGAGGCGAAAGAGCAGTGCTAGGACTTGGAGAAATTGAGTATTAGAGCTCCTAAATAAGGTAAGCTTTCTTACTTAAATCTTTCTCACTTCTTCTATTTTCTTAATGGTAGAAGTTAAGGTTTGATTGATAATGGTGTTTTTTGGTCCAAAGAAGCTATAAGTCTGAACCCATTGATTTAAATAGAGTTAATGAGAGTAGATTGAGCTAAGTAAACTTAGTATTAAGGATTATATGCTGATTGGTGGTTGAAGGACATTAAATGTCCCAAAATTTTCATAAATGTGATGGTTAGGAACAATGTGGTCTTATTAATAATTATTAAAGAGATTAATGATATTAATGAGAGTTATAGGAAGCTAAGAATAAGGCAAGAATGAATTTTGAACATTAAAAAGTGTTGAAGTATTGGTGAAAATTAGCTCAAATGTAA